AGTCGAAACATCCTGTAATTTTGCCTAGTCGACATTGGGTAACCGAATTGATAATCAGACACTATCACAAGGAAGAAGGACATATGGGAAATTCGCATGTGTTAGCTACGATCCGCAAGTACTATTGGATAGTTAAGGGCACCAGCACGGTTAAAAGAGTAATAGGAAAATGTGAAACTTGTCGAAGGTTTACTTTGTGTCCAGGGAACCAACAGATGGCGCAACTTCCAGTTTATAGAGTGCAAAAAGGTTGGTATAGTTTCTCGACGACAGGAGTGGACTACTTTGGACCTCTTCTGGTCAAGAGGGGTAGGTCGTGTGTTTACCTGCCTGCAGACAAGAGCAGTACATATTGAGATTGCATACAGTCTGAATACCGATTCATTTATAATGGCTTTAATACGTTTTATCGGAAGAAGAGGGAGACCGACAGATGTGTTTAGTGACAACGGATCAAACTTCGTGGGGGCAGTCACTGAACTAAAGAGCTTCGTGCAACAGTGGAATCATCAGAAAATTAGTAAGGAATTATCGTCAAGACAAATTCAATGGCATTTCAACCCTCCACTAGCCAGCCATAGAGGTGGAGTCTGGGAACGAATGATTAGATCTATACGAAGGCTGCTATTATTGATCACCAGGGAACAGGTGTTAACAGACGAAACCTTGGGTACGTATCTGATTGAAATTGAGAGAATTCTAAACGATCGACCCCTAACCCCGGTAGTCCAGGATGCTAACGACCGACTAGCTCTATCACCAAATAGCCTACTGTTATTGAGAGAATGTGACGGAATAGCTGAGGAAGGAAGTATTAGTGACAAGTTCCACAAACGTTGGAAGCAGGTAAATTACTTAGCCAATGTATTTTGGAATTGGTGGTTAAAGGAGTATTTGCCTCCCTTACAAACTCGTCAGAAATGGCTAAAAGAGCATCGCAATTTTCAGAAAGGAGACGTAGTTATTGTCGCCTCGGATATTACTACTCGTGGAAAATGGCCCTTAGGAATAGTAGAGGATTGCGAGACAGATAAGGACGGAAAGGTCAGAACAATAGTCGTTCGTACGAATAACGGGGTAGCGAGAAGAGACATACGAAAGGTGTGTCTCCTAGAAGGTTCCAACTAGATAGGTTATATCCACATTGGATGGCGGGTAGGCGTAGTGCTGTAAGTCCCATTCGTTATTTCGGTGTGGATTAGGGGATGAGTGGGAACCCTAAATTGAAGTGTCATTAACGCTTGCCTTTTTTTTGCATGGAGGGATTTTGCGGGCCGGTGTAGAATCTTTTTTGAATGTTTTGTTTTTTGGAAAATCTCTCCATGTATATATATTTGTGTTATGATATGACTGACTCTTTCTGTTGACATTTTGGTACTTTTATTTGATTCCAATTTGAGGTTTTATCATTGTATATTGTTATTATTTCTATATTTTGTACTTATATTGAAGTTTTTATGTTTGCTTCTGAGCTGTATATATGTTGTTTAAATTTGATCTTTAATATGGCTACAGCTATATTTGGATTGATATTGTGGCGGTTGGATTTTAAATCACTTAGTCCCTCTAATCTTGGATACTCCTCGGAGTAATTGTGACTTGGAAAGTGCATCAACTTCAGGTATTGATTTGTATTTCCATTTTAATATAATATAGACCGTTTACTCCTAGAATTGCTGTGTTTTTTGGACATTGGACTGGGAGATACGCGTTCGGACTGCACTTACTGGAAACCATTTGAACTGCTACGGTAGGAAATCCATTTATAATACTTTAGCAGTAACGGACTGGAAGCACTTATTCTTCCAGAAGCGGATACCCACCAGGGTAATTTGGACTTGGAAGGTGTAACAATTTTTCTGTAAATGTTTGTATTTCCATTTTATAATGAAAATAGACCGATTTCTCCCAGAATTATTGTGTTTTTGCTATTGGATCCGGGACGTCGAAAGCCAACCTGCACCTAATGGAAACAAAGTGATTGGCTAGGGTAGAAAATCCATCTACAGTCCAACAATTGGTCAGAACAAGTAAAACATTTGGAATTTTCATCGTTGACAATATCAAACTTCTTGGAAGAAGAACTTTGGATTACTTATCCTTTTTTTGATCAAACTGTATTTTGGAAAACGATCTTCTGATCTTTTTGGATTTTCATTGTCGAGGATTTACCGGTGAAAACTTTATATTTTGTATTTGTTATTTATCTTCCGTTGAATTTCAATTTATTATGAACTCTGGAAAGAAAACAAACGCGAAGAGGGTGGAAGCCCATGAAGAATTTCGAAATGCGAGGCAAGTCGTTTACGATGCTTCATGTTTAATGGGTACACTCTCAAATAACAACGATGTTATGTTTGATACTTATTATTGTAAGTCACCCTTAGAAGGCACTAAGGAAAAAGATTTGGACGAGAACTCTAAGGTACCCGTGAAAGAATTGATGTTTAGGACACCGGTAGTAGGCTTGGAATTACCAAAGGTTGAACTCCTATTCTTCGACGGCAAACATCGAGATTACTTTAGGTTCGTTAGACAGTTTGAGTCGTTTACAAAACCCAGAGTAAGGAATGATAATTTGCATTTAGTATATTTAATTCATTACTGTAAAGGAAAGGCGAGAAATGCGATTGAAGTTTGCCTTATAATGGAACCACAAGTGGGATATAAAAGAGCTAAGGCTATTTTAAAGCAGCTCTTTGGACAATCGCACGTAATAGCACGTGAAACTCTGGAGGACTTGTTTAGAACTGGGAATGCGGACTACAATGACCCAGAAAAATTGACGGAATTAGCAATTAAAATGCAAAACGTTGCTCTTATTATGGAACAATTAAATTGTATTGCAGAACTAAATTCTCCAGTAAATTTAGAGCAAATAGTTAGGCTCTTACCTCATCAAATGCAAGTCCAGTGGCCGGCGCTGGGAATTAAGTGGGACGAAGAGGAAAGGGAGCCTACTTTCAATGAATTGACGGACTTTATTATGTCTCGTGCTAGGATAGCTAGTAGTAGATTCTGAAGATTAGCTAATCGCGCTAAAACAGGACATGGTACGGAAGCTATTTGTGATCTGCGTGCGAGACATGAAATTCTTCAAATGCGTTTACACCTTCCTCACACCCGAAATTTAAGAGAGTTGTTAATTGTATCAGAAAGGTATACCCTCCTGAAGAACGAGTATGTGACTCCGATGGTAACCCTACCGAGGTTGCAAAATAATCTTGTAGGAATATTGATTGGGTGTGATGCTCCAGATGCACATTGGGTCCCTGAACAACGCCTGGGAGACAGGAAGCATCCGTTCGGTGTGCGTACTCATTGTAGAATCTTTTTTGAATGTTTTGTTTTTTGGAAAATCTCTCCATGTATATATATTTGTGTTATGATATGACTGACTCTTTCTGTTGACATTTTGGTACTTTATTTGTTTCCAATTTGAGGTTTTATCATTGTATATTGTTATTATTTCTATATTTTGTACTTATATTGAAGTTTTTATGTTTGCTTCTGAACTGTATATATGTTGTTTAAATTTGATCTTTAATATGGCTACAGCCATATTTGGATTTTGATACTTTAGCAGTAACGGACTGGAAGCATTTATTATTCCAGAAACGGATTCCTATTGTGGCAATTGGAAACTCGAGGTTGTAGTATCGTTTTGGTAATTGTCTGTATTTCCATTTTATCGATTAATAGAACCGTTTTCTCTCAGAATTATCGTGTTTCCGGTCCTTAACTGGGTAAACGCGTATGAACATGCACCTGTTCGAGTCGGAGTGAATTGCTAGAGTAGATAATCCATTATAAGGACGATGTCATATGCATCATTGTAGTAACTCACAATTCTGAAAAAGATTCGTTTATTTGTGCTCACTGAGTTCTCCTTAAGTTTAGCCTTAGTTCATACATGACCCTTAGAGAACGACCTGAAAATCTCCGGATATCATTATTAGTTTGAGAGATTCAGCCAACTGCAGGTATATCTCAGTACTTGCAAAACTGTCTAAAGTAATAGACGAATCGGTAATTGAACAAAAGAGACAATATGACCTTGGACAGCTGGAAAAACCAAAACATACTTGCCCATTTAATAACGTTTGATCTCGTATGGGTGTTTAGAGTAGAATCGCACACACAAGGTTGTGAAGAACAGTTTCACCGACTCCTTTCTATCCTGGTCACGGAATTATCTGGATGCTCGGTACTAAGGTACGGAGAGAGATGAAGATTCTTGGTAGTTGCTGCTTCTTACTTACTTGAAACAAAATTATTTACCCAAACTACAAGATATTCTAACATAGAGAAGACTGTCAAATGATTAGAACCGGTGCGGTCAAGCGGCTGCACTGCCGTACACAGGACATTAACAAATACCTTAAACCATATTGAAATAACAGGAAACGATGGCAAGGAATCTGGTCAGTTCGTATATGCTCACAGCTAAATCACTGAATATCCTTACTTTTGAAGGAAATTCATTTCCACGTGACTTTTTGAAATTGTGAGTACTGATTACGAACAGAATTTGAATAGATATCTCGTAAATTTAACGCTGATTCTAGTAGTATATTTTCCACAGTAAAGGTGGAACTAGGAGTTAGTCTTAGTCATAATTTAAATGTACATTCCTATTTGGATTCTAAAGGCAATATGGAAAATTATCAAGGAGTATATAATTTTATCTGATTCTCCTAACTAAAGCTAGTTCCTACTGAGTATCGTGAGAAAATGTTACCATTTATTCAGAAACAGCCATCCTAGTTGATAAAGGAAGGGGTACGAAAATGTTTTTGTACCGTAACTCACTCTGTGAGATGACTAGCTGTGGAACGTTCTAAGATTTATAACTCTGCTGAATATAGAAATCTGTAATAAAGAGGTTTCCCAAGATACGCTCTTGTGTTTGCTTCTTATTTTAGTCTATGTACACATTTAACCGATCAAAGTTTGATCATTTTTTCTACTCGCTGCAGATGATACCAAGATATGAAGACCCAAGCAATGGATGTCATGTAGAATCAAAGTACACGGAGACCTAAGTTCACTGTTTGAATGAAAATATACATGAGCTTTAGAAGTTAATTCTTACGAGTGTGGTGATGCGAATTTATAGCTGCTACGATTCGTAAAACCACAAAACTCGCAAAATAGCGTCACCTTAAGCAGTGGATCATAAAGATCTAGGTGTTAATATCAACAACACCTTTAGGATAAGAGTAACTTCAGGGCTGTCTCAGTCAAAGGATATAGGGTTTTTTGTTGAATACTCTGAAGTGACTTCATTTCTTGGATTACCTTACCCACTCTTCCTGAGGCCGAATACGGCGAGTCCTTCTTGCAAGTATGAAGCGGAGAGGGGAGGATTTAGTGAAGTATCGCAATGAAATAGCTTATGAAGGCAAACTGAAACGCCTTAACCTGTTTCTATTATCTTACTGTATGTTACTAGATGATTTCATTCTGGTTTTATGCATACTGAAAGATGGTTTCGTATTGTCGTCTTATCTTTCCCTCCTATTAACGGTCTTTCTTCCGAGAGGAAATTCTAAAAAGGTCTAGAAGCTGAGATAGAATCATTTACGTCTGAAGTTCTTGTAGTGAAGTACAAGAATCCTATAGCACAACAGGTAACATGAGCACCTATTGATACATCCAATGGGAGAGGCAATGTTCAAAGTAATATATATTGCAATAATCAATATTAAACGATTGGCCTCCTTTCCACATTACTGAAGACTAGTAATTGAATTTACAAAATTTGTTTCAAATGGTAGTGCAAATGATAGCGGCTACTACCAATCTGGGCTATATGGTGTTTTTCATTTTGCTATGGACAATGTTTTCCTATCGTTGGCTGGAAATCACTCACTAATGGAAAATGGAGGGTTCCCAGGTACGTGTTCAATAATCCTGCGAAACATCGCCGAGTTAGTATTATGGCTTTACCTAGTCAATATTATAGTTCATTTTATGCTGCTTCATTTTACTTTAAAAAATTGAAGGTCGAGAGCTTATGTTAATCCGTTTCTACCCAGCTTGTGTGCTTAAATGGACGTCTCAAAAAGGCGCCCCTACTTCTCCGAGTAGTAGGTGTGAGTAATTGAATACTTAGTGAGATAACCTGTTTATCTCGGGGTTGTGTTCGTTGCTTGCCCTCAAACTCACCTTTTGTGTCCTCTAATTTGTCATGATATTAATATTTAGCTGGCAAACCTTTACTGGCATCTAAAGTCTTAAGATCAAATAAACTGCATATACAATATTTTCCTCACGCTGTAAATGCTCTCAATATGTTTCATGAACACTTCTAAACTGAAAATTATTGTCGGTGTATATAGGAAGTTTGATATCAATAGTTTCGGTAATAATCATCTTTTCTTACACGAAATGTTACAAAACTACCTACTTAAAGCTTAGTAAATAGTAATTAGTAAATACGCTCCTCAGAATGGCAACAGTCCTGGTGTCAGCCATGAGCAATTGAAGAGTTTACCAGTCCCTTTAACGTTTTGCAGATCGGGGACTCAGTTATGGATGCAAGTCCTTAGTACCAAGTGAGAATGATTTCCCACTAACATCCGTAGCACTTTTGAATGATTGTAAGTCCACCAGTTGATTTGGGTTTTGAAGGAATAAGATCAGTTACATATCTTTTACCACCAACAGTTGTTGAGGTATTTATACCTATCTTTTAAGGCATGTATTTTAAAATTGCCAGTGTTATTTAAAATCCTAGCGTAGGAAATCTTGGGGTTCAATAAATTTGTAAGCATGGTAGTTGATTTTTACATGCAATAAGATTATTCCAGACTCGTTTCTTATCCTCATAGGATTTAGGCAAGAAGTATCCCAGGTGTTCGGGCAGGAATTATGAGTAATGAAGTTCAACTGGCTAACTAATTTTTAAAAGCACGTGTGGTACATTTTCACTCCTTATCCGGACTTACTCATTAGAATCATGTTTTTTTTCATGTATTACATACTTATCACAGTCTTGCAAAATTCAGGTTCAGTTAGTTTGGCTTTTTAATTGGATGGTTCAGAATGCTTTCAGGGGCGAACTACCCTCTTTAAGACCGTAATGAAGGGTGCTTGGATTCTAATTAATCATTATGTAGGGTTAGTGATTTTATTCATCATTTATTGGACACATTGGTACTAATAGGCATCACTATATATATATGCCACAATAACAATGAGGTTGTTCAGAGAGCGGAAAAACCGTCAGTATAACAAATAGTGCATAATTTAAAGTTCTCTGGGACAACGTTCGTAATACGCGTCTTATGTCTGTGTTTCAAGATGTTGACACTAAATTATCGTCGCGTTTCAGACCCCGTGTATTACTAAAATTGTGTTGCCATCAATCACTTAACTCGGAGAGACCAACTTTCACGAACAGAGCAAAACTTCTCTCACCGACATATTGTGAACCTGGCCTTTTATAGCCGGACTAACATCAAGAAAGCAGTCAGTTGCAACGTAGAACTTCGTACGTATGTACATAAATTCATGTTGCCATACAACATCAGCACAGAGACGTAAATGTCGAATCAAATCCCATAGTGATAAAGATAGTAGAGGTATTAATGGTAATGAAGAAGACTAGGGTTTGAAGATATTATTCAAGAGGTATAATTCAGTGAGATAAGGTTCGAAAGATAAAGGTAGAGGTGCTGACGAATCCAGAAGATTAGGATTTGAGAGAGCTCAAAGAATGGATGCACTTGCCCCATTGCAAACGATTTTGAGCCATGTCGTTCAAGGTCTCTAACCATTGATGACTTTCGTCTCGCGGACCCCAATCAGGTAGTCTACATCTACCAACATGACTCAGTCCACTTGTCAGTGACTTCATGGATTTGTGCCATGTTTTGGTCTGGCCGCCCCCAGTTTTCTTCCTAATTATTCCTGCACCACAAAACATTGCTCTTCGAGGCAGTCGGTGGTTAGGCATACGTAACACATCCCAACCACCTGAACTGGTGAAGTTTCACAACTTCATCTATTGATTTACCATTCCTACCTAGAACTCGTTTCCTAACGACAGCATTGCTTACTCGGTTGTCCCAGGATATACGAGCAATGCTTCTCAGACATCTATGATCGAAGACTAGTAAACTACGAAGCTTAATGTTAAACCTAACAGGATTTCTACGACAAAGTTAAACAAGAATGAAGAGAGTGGATAGCACTGACGGACACCACTTGATGTAGGGACTTCAGATGACAGTTCGCCATAGGCTCTCACTCGACCAGTGGTGTTCAAGTATAGAGCTTGTATAAGGTTAATGTACTCTTTGGTACACCTTTCAATGACAGACACTGCCACAGAACCTCACGGTCCACAGAGTCAAATGCCCCTCGTTTCCTAACGACAGCATTGCCTACTCGGTTGTCCCACGATGTACGAGCAATGCTACTAAGACATCTATGATCGAATACTAGCAAACTGCGAACATCTACTCTTAACGGCCATGTTTCGCATCCATATAGGCGAATGGAGCGAACTGCTGCGCAGTACACTCGTCCTTTGGTTAGCGAACGGATATCTCGCCTACGCCATAGGTGACGCAGTTAGCAAAAGCCAATTGAGCCTTCTGTATCCGAGCTGAGATTTCGTCAGTCACCAGGTTATCAGCGCTGATGAGACTCCCCAGATTTACAACCCAGATAAGTGAAGTGATCAACACGCTCGACTACTTCACTCCTTATCACTAGTTCAGGTGCCGATGCAACCCAGTGTTGAAGCAACATTTTGCATTTGGAGGGTGAGAACCGCATCCCGAACATGCTTGCATTGTTGCTTAGGGGGGTCAGATGACTGCATTTTGTCAGCGTCTTTACCGAATAGAACTATGTCATCGGCATATTCTAGGTCAGTAAGCAATCCTCCTGGTAGAAGATCAAACCCTGAAAAATCTGACGAGCTTAATGTTAACTCTAACAGGATGTCTACGACAAAGTTAAACAAGAATAGAGAGAGTGGACAGCACTGACGCGCACCACTTGAAGTAAAGAATTCCGTTGACAGTTCGCGATAAGCTCTCACTCGACCATGTTCGAGTAGAGAGCTTGTATGAGGTTAATGTACTTCTTTGGTACACCTTTCAATGTCAGACACTGCCACAGAACCTCACGATCCACAGAGTCAAATGCCGCTTTTAGCTCCAGGAACACGACTATTGTCGGACGTCTAAATGTGTGTCTATGTTCGAGGACCTGTGTGAGTGCGAAGATGTGGTCTATGCAGCCACGTCCAGGTCTGAAACTAGACTGGTTTTCTCTAGTCTGCTCTTCACGAGCTCTAGTTAGGTGTCTAAGTATAATGGAGGCTAACAATAGGAACTATATTAGTTAAACTTATACCCCTGTGGTTGTCGCTAGATGACTTATGTCCTTTCTTGTAGATTGGGACAATTAGCGACTGAGACCATTCAGATAGGATTACGTCCAGTTTCCAGATTCTACCCAAGCTCTCTGTCAATCTAGCTGTTAAAACTGGACCACCATTCTTAAACATCTCAGGGGTAAGCCTATCAGGACCTGCTGCCCTACCTCCCTTTAGATTTCCTAAAGCTTTCTCAACTTCATGTGGACTAGGAGGACTTAAATCGATTTGCCATTCAGGATGACTGGGGATCGTGGGCAACCGAAGAGTGGCTGAACACCAGTTGAACTGGTCCCTAAAGTGTTCTACCCATCGGTCCAATCTCCTGGATTGAGAATGAATGATACATCCATCCTCACTCACATTCGGGTTCCTAATACCGGTTTCCTTGATAAGTTGGTACGAATCTCTGTTTTTGCCTATCGCCGCTGCCTTTTCCATCGCTTTTATTTTCGCCACTCACCACTGTTCGCGGTCGTTACGTAGGCTTTTTATCAATCTGCGCCTAAGCTTACTTCGCTCTTCGTCGTGTTCGGAGTCAGGTGGGATGCGTTTTTGAGCATCCATCAGTTCGGTGGATGCGACTGAAATCCACGGCTTCATCCTAGCCTTATGATTTACCTTACTAGCAGATATCACTGCTGTTTCCACACAATTTTTGATATCATTCCAACCTGCCTCCGGATAGGATTCACTTGCATGGTTGCCTAACTGTTCTTCTAGTTCCTCCTGAAATATTTTCTTAGCTTGATTATCATTAAGTAAAGCCCTAAGAGGTTTTGCGATATTTTTCTGGCGTCCAGTAAGGCACAAACAAATACGCGCCCGCACTAGGGCATGATCTGAATCTAAACATGTGCCCCAGAACGAGCGACAGTCCTCTATCGAACCCCTCCATCGGTGGCTGATGGCGATGTGATCTAGTTGCGTCCAACGTTGAGACGACTTTGGAGGTCGCCAGGTCAACAGATGCTTTTCCTTATGCCTAAAGTTAGTGTTTGCTAAGAATAGGCGGTTGTCTGAGCATACTTGCAACAGACGGTCACCAGTGTCTGTTCGCTGAGCCGTGACACTATAAAATCCATCTAGGTGTCTTTCATCTTCACTTTACCTACTTGAGCATTGAAGTCACCAGCCATAATGAGTACATTAGAGCGATTAACTTTTTGGAGGAGGTCCGAAAGCTTTCTATAAAATTCATCTTTAAGCTCGTCTGAACTGCAATCAGTGGGGCATAGGCTGATATGACGAAGAGGCAACGGCGAGTGTCCCCATCCTTCCGAGTCCGTACTGTCCCATTTGGTCGGACAGCGCACTATCGTCTATCTACAGGGATCCGGTCTTGGAGAGACCCCTGGAAGCAGCATCAGGGCTACCGGATACACGAAGGGTAAATCGAGTTGTTTCTTTATCTTGACATGGTGAGATCAAGTGAATGATGCTACTCGGACCCTGTATGCGCGTTTCCGAGACGCAGCATACATCGATTGAGCGAGATTCTAATGTTCTAGCTAAGGTAGCCTGCTGCCCTACTTGACATAATGTCTGTCTGTACATTAAAAGCTCCAACATGTAGTCTAGAGTGGAGTTCTAGGAGACTAGGAATAACGTTTCCGGAACTCGTATCGTTTGCATTAGCGGTACGGGGTGAGAAAGGAATGTGAGAAGAGTTAGTCGTGGAGATAAAAGAGGTATTAGGCGGTGTAGGAAGGATTTGATTTTGACCAATTCGATCTCGTGTGCTGTTACGGGTATGAGCGCGGTTGTCACTTCCCAGCTGCCCACACCGTGGAAGGTTTTTTCTTGATGAACGTGAAAAGTAAGGTGGATTAGAGTTGGTCTTGGAGACCTGGGTGCGTGACCGCAGAGCCCAAGGGACAACTGCATGAGTCCGGTCACGCACGGCCATCTTATGAAAGGTTTTTTGAGGATTAGCTCCGCTCTTGAAAGCCCTTATTGGTTACCCTTACCGACGGAGACGGAAATCCGTGCGGTAGGGTGAGGTGTGACATTTTTAGGGTCGACCTTTTCTAACCCTTCCTTCCTTGTGAGAAGGCAGCATTGCTGCGGATGCTGGTTGTCCGAGGGAAACAGCTTACTGCTGTCACACCCCTCTGCAGTCAGCAGTACGACTTCACCCTCAGACCTTGAGTATCTGCTTTTACTTACATCGTTCTCCAATCGACCTGCCTGGCATGGTAGAACCTTCAGGAACATATGTTCCAGCCAATATAGCTCGGTTGGGTCATGACGATAGGCAAGCCCGACCACCACGTCAAGGTAGCAGCTACGGTCGGGAAATTTCAGAAATTTCGGAAAACCCCCAAACTTATCGCATGTCAATTATTGTTGTGTTTCCTGATATCAAAACCGCTTTTGATTATTTAAACAGGTCTGTTCTCGGGCGTTGCTTAATGAAGGGTGTGCCTAAAAAGTTTATTAACGTTCTGAAGGCCCTCTTTACAAACACGTAAGGAAGAGTCAGGGCATGCAACCACCTCTCAGTTGTCTCATTCAAGCAGTTAGGTTAAGCAGAGTTGCTAAATCTTACCATTCCTCTTCAGTTTTGCCATCGATGTCATTCTGGAAACAGCCTTGATAGATGGGTGTAGATCTGTTAACTGGTGAAAGACCTTTAGACCTTTAGTATTAAAACGATATCGTCTTGCTGTGCGAAGATCCCCAAGTCATGCAATCGGCACTTGATCCCTTGGCAGTTAGTGTCCATAAGTATGACGTGTGCTTTTCACCTAAGTGCGAAATACTTTCACAAGACTGACAGTCAGTCAGTTAACTACAACGTAAAACTTGGTACCCACGTCCATCAATTCAAGTTGCCTTACTATATTAGCACAACGAGAATTGTCAGTTCAAAACCCATATCAGTAGAGGTAGCAATAGTATTACCAGTAATCAGAAAGCTTAAGGATTAAGTAAATGATTTGAGAAGTATAATCCAGTTAAATAAATTTAAAAATCGAAAACGAGTCGTTCAGAAGATTGGAATTTGAGAGAATACAAAAAAAAGATGTACCGGTGCCATAGTAAACGATTTTGATCTATATCATTCAACGTCTTTGCCATCGGTTATTTATTTCTCTCGGACCCCAACCAAGGGAGTCTACACCTACTAACATGGTTCAGTTCAGTTTTCAGTGACTTCACGGATTTGTGTCATGTTTTGGTTTGGCCGCCCATAGCCTTCTTCCAACCTACCCCTACATTCCACAACATTGCTTGTTGAGACAGTTGGTGGTTAGGCAAATGAAACACATATGCTGACCACTTCAGCTGATGGAAGAAGACTCACTAATCCATTAATAGATTTGCCATCTTCGCGTAGTACGATATTAATTTGTTTTTGCAATCGTTCTATTCTGTTTTTAGTTATGGTTCAAAACCCACATTTTGCTTCTTGGACACAACTTTCTGCACAAACAGCTGGAAATGCAGCTGCTGCAGCGGCCGCTGCTGCTGCTGCGGCAGTACATCCAGGAGCAGGATCATTCCAATTTCCTAATGCCAATTCACTCCAACATTTACAGTCACCTGATTCATCATCATCATCAACTACCTCTCGTAGTGTCAATTTAGAAAATTCTATTTCAGTCACTGGAACAACTAATAATTTTTCACTTGGTTTACAATCATCAACACCTTTAACTTTGCAACATTCAATACCATCACAAACACATGCACAGTCACAACAACAACAACATCAACATCAAGTACAATTGCAACAGCAACAACAACATCAGTTACAACTTCAACAGCAGATTCAATTACAACAACAACAACAACAATTTCGACAGCAGCAACAACAACAACAACTCCAACAACATTCATTACAACAACAAGTTAGACTTTCAAGTCCATCTCAACAACACCAACAACAGTTGCATCAACATTTACAACAACAACGACAAACTGTTGTTGTCCCGCAATCGCAACAAATGAATCAAATATCCGGTATTGGTCTTCAAACTACCAGTAGTACTAGCACATCTCAATCATCATTACCAGTCATTCCGAATAGTGGTGTTAGTTTTAGTATGCAAATGTCACCGACCATACAAGCAACTCCAACAATTCATAACCAGTTAACTCCTCAAACATCTATGCTTAGCGTAAGTAGTTTCCCATCATTTACCACTGCTACTGCTCCTGCTCCAGTAAAACAAAAAAGAAAATCTAAAAACACTAGTAAGAAATCTCAAGCTGAAGTTATCTCCAACACCAGTACCAGTACCAGTATTTCAACATGTGGTGTAGTGAATACATTATGCTCCAGTTCTACAGTATCATCATGTGGTTTAATTCAAATGAATGGTAATTTATCATCATCAATGACATCAGCTGATCAAACTAATTCTTCTATATCATCTAATCCAATCACTTGTATTAGTGAAACGCGTAATTCACCATTACCAACTATACTTTCTCCATTACCAACATTACCAGAAGAGATATTATTAAAAATTGATCCTTCACTGGGTGATCCACCACCACCACCACATGCAGATGTAACGATTACAAAACCTTATCAATGTGATATATGCCTTAAAAGATATTCCGGTATGAAATCATTAAAAAATCATAAATTAACTCATTCCGATATTCGACCACATAAATGTTCTATATGTGGTAAAGCATTTCTTCGAGCAGATAAAATGCGTCTTCATGAAATTTCTCATTTGAATGTAAAACCATTTGAATGTGCTACTTGTAAACAACGTTTTACACGTTCGGATAAATTAAAAATTCATCATCGTACTCACACGGGAGTTCGTCCATATGCATGTACTTTTTGTCCTAAACGCTTTACACGATCTGATAAATTGAAAATTCATGAACGTATACATACAAAAGTTAAACCATATGAATGCTCACATTGTGGAAAGTGTTTTGCTCGTTCGGATAAAAGAAGACTACATGAGAAAACTCATATGTTTGGACCGAAACCTCGTGCTACCGGTGGAAAAAAATCGAAGACTACAAGTGCAGCAGCGGCGGCTGCAGCCGCGGCCGCAGCTGTTGTTGCTGCTGCATCAGCGGCGTCATTTTTAACTGTTAACTCTATTGGAAAGAATCTTGGTCTCCCGCTAACTGTTACCACTCCTTCAATCAATGCCAATAATCCATCATGTACTGTGTTTGATTTCTCTTCACTTACAAATGTTTGTACAACTAGTCAAAGTAATGTTTGTTTTCCATCTTATCACACTGTTAGCTCAGCTCCATCTAATGTGAATGAGAATGCTGCTGATACTCAACAGACCCCGGCTCCTTTGTCTACAATTTCTTTTCCTTTGCCAACTTGTCAACAATTGCATTTACCAACACAACATCACTCTACTCTAGCTTCACTTGCAGGTATTGCTCAATATCATCCAGCTTTATTTTCCGCTCATCCACGTCAATTTCCCAATGCTGCATCAGTAGCTAATCCTGTTTCTTTTTATCCTACAAATCAAACTAATTCTATGGGATTTACAACTGCTAACTCAGGATCTTATCCCCATGCACAGGTAATGCCGTTTCTAGTCAATCCTAATGGTGGCACAGGTGCATCGTCTTCAATTTCATTTTTGGGATCTAATTCTGTTTCGGACAACAATAATAACTGTTCAGTTGCTAACACCTCTAGTATTTATCAAAGCCCTTCTCAGAAAATGGGAGCAGTTGTAACTTCATTTCCGGTTAGTACTCCTGGAGTGGTGGTAACACAGCGACCAGAAATATCTGCAGTTTCTTCTGATGCTGTCTCTGTGAACCCAACATCCACTACAGTATCGAATACAAATATTGCTGCTGTGATGGCTGCTGCAGCACTAGGTCGTCAATTCCATCAAAATCAACAATATCATCCACAGATAGTAGCTTATTCGGGTTCTCAACAAATCCCCCATGTTTCTGCTTTCATTCATCAACAACAGCGCCAACAACCTCAGGAGAATCAACAATCACGAGAAACTGGGCAGCAACAACAACAACAACAAAGTCAGCAGCCTACACATTTTGTTCACCATCAAGCACAATCTAAACAAGTTCAGTCACAGCAGCATCCACCTCAACAACAACAAGCTCAACAGCAGCAGCAGCAACAACAACCACAACAGCCTAGACCTCAATTTCAATTTTACCAACCTCAGTTTGCTCATCAATTTCAGCAATCAACTGCTCAATTGCAACAAGATCATCAACATCAAATGCTGCAACATCAACAACAAGTTATACAATTACATCAGCAACTTCAGCAGCAACAACAACAAGCTCAACAGCAACAACAACAAACTCAACAACAACACCAACACCAACAGCTTATGCAACAACATTCCGCCGCTATGCTTCAACAACAGGGTCTTATTTCACCTGCACATTCTGGTACATCAGTCGCTGCATTTAGTTTATTTCCTCAAGCTGCTGCACAATTTATACCTGGTGTAGTGCCAGCTCAGTATGCTGCTGCTGCGGCTGCAGCAGCTCATTCAACACATCAACAATATATGCAAGTACAACAACAACAACAACAACAGTATTTAGCTGCGGCGGCTGCTGCAGCAGCTGCCTCTTCTGCACCTATGCATTCATTGACGTTGACAACATCGCATCAACCAAATTGTAGTAGTAGTAGTAATAGTAGTAGTACAATAGCAACAATTGCACCTACAACTAGTAGTTCTATTGTTACTTAACCTTTAACCTTTTTTTGACAGCTTGTACTTGAATGAATCGTCGATCTTTTATCGATTATGTATGTATTACCAAACTGGTTGTCTTTTGTGAATTGTGAATGTGTGCATTTAACTATTATTTTTTTTCTTGTCTTTGCATTATGTGTTATATACATGATAATTTGGGCCTATTCTCTTTTTTTTGTTTTTATAAATACAACGTAGTAAAAACGATCATTGAGATTTTTTCCTGTACATATATACATTATTATATTGACATGGTTGTTTACACAAATTAGACAATCAGCTGTTAGACAGACACAAATCAATAACTTTTTAAATAAATAAATCATAATACCCCCTTGACCATGCATTTGAATTTTTATTTTATTTTTTTTTTCTTTTCTGGGAAACATTTCCCATTCAGAGATTCCGCATCCTTCCATAGTCTGTCTATCTATATATTTATTGTATGAGTCTATTATTTGTGGTATGTATATATACAACTCAACTTTAGGCCAGTTAATGCATTGTTTCCTTTTCCGATCTTCTAACTCTTGAGTTTATCATTTTGTTTTTAGTTATAATTTAAACTAATATTTCAGTTTGTTTTTTTTTCTCTCTCTCTCTCTATGGTTGTTCTTGTCACATAACTATGATTATTATGGTGAATGACAGTCACCTATTGTTTGTTATCACTTGTCATCAATGCTGTTCACGTGATGTGATTTCAATCGTTTTTATCATGTACAAAAGGCAACCAACACTCATAGTTGAGTTTTCATGTGTATATTTAATGTGTGTTATCTATGTACCTCGGTCTATATGTACCCTGTATTAAAAAGTTCTTATTTCTTCTGTGCTTCTTACTGGTTGATTTGTTTTCTCTTTTCGTTTTTAGTGCAATTTCTGTTAATTGACTGTATTCCCCCCATATGTATGTTATTATTACATTGTATCATCATGTATCATACTACACAAATACAATCTCTTTCACCTTGAGACTTTCTCTCTTCTACTTCTTCATCATCATCTACTTTGCCATATTGCGTTTACGTTAACCTACCTCTATAATTAAACAAGACAATTTATATATTTTTTGTCTTGTATGATGTATGTATATCTCCTTATCATTTTCTGCTTGTAAAAAAGAGAAAAAATATGCGTCACAGTTTAATAATTATCCAAGTTTTCCCCGCTTTCACTTCGACTTTGGTGTCAATTTGTAAAGAAAAAAAGAAGTAAGCCTTTTAGTCTCATCATCATCATCATCATCACCTCTAACTCCCTTAGTTGTCCGTTTGTCTGTTTGTTTGTTTTACTTCCCCCTGTTAAATAATTTTTCTGTTTGAATCAATCCGGTAAATAAATAAATTAATTAATTCAGTTGAAAATAATCAACTTGTAAATGTATAATAATGAATAATAATAGTTCAATGCATTTTTTTCTTCACTTCTATTTATTTATAAGTTGCGCTATTTTATTCTCTGTGTGTGTGTGCGCGTGTGTGCGTTGTTAGTACAACCAACCATTGATTGATCAGTGAGAAGTTGAATTTAAAGGCAAGGCATCATCAAATACAAATAAATAATGTCTCTTACAGATTACAATGTCTATATATATATCTATATATCTATATATCTTTACTATTAAAATGCACATACATAGATAGAGCCTTTTTTTTGTCAAAACCAGTGCGAATGTTGTTGGAATCCAATCTTTTTTCCCATGTAGATAATTTTTTTCATTCAATGTTGATTTTCTTTTCTTTTCTCTTTTCTGTTTTATAAAATGCGTTTACTACTTGATCATCATCTTTTCTTCTTATTTCTTAATTGTATTCATTTTGAAAAGAAGAGAATAAACCCAACAAAAAAAATAAAAAAAAAAATTAAATAGGTAATTCAAAATTATTATTATTATCATGTAGATAAAAGATTGTTTCTTGTTTGTTTCCTTTTTCAGCAAATTTTGTCTATTAGGAAATTTATTCGTTCTTTCCTGTTCTGTTCCGTTTTTTTGGCAAGACAAGTGTTTACATTTTGTAATATGTCTGTTCCCCGTGTGTGTGTGTGTGTTTGTGTGTGTTCTTGTTATGTTATTGATTGCGTGTGTCTGTACTGTTCTGGGTTGCTTTTTTCTTTTTGAAATGAAAGAGTATGAGTTATGTAATGTATGTATGTATGTATCAATGTAAACCTTATAATAATTATTATTATTATTTATTGATACCATTATTAATGTTGCATTTTAATAATTGCAAATTGTCTGTTTGTTTTTTCTGTTAAAATTTATTTTGTTTTTTTATAAATATATATATATATATATAAATATATGCATATATATTAATTATTATAATGATTTTTTTTGATTACAATTTGTACATCATTTTATGTGTAGAAGATGCGATTGTTCTCAAGATTAAGGTTAAATTGACTGACATCTCTTGTTTATAAGATTGCTAAGTATTTCTTACAATTCTTATTCTTACGAGATTCTATTTATTTTCGAAACTATTAATTGAGTGATTTTAAGTGACATTACTTTAAACCATTGTAAGTGATATCAATCTTTCGTCGTTGTTAGGAAATGGGTACTAGGTAAGGATGGATAGGTCAATAGATCAATGAAGTATTGAATCTTCATCAGTTGAAGTGATTTGGAACATGTGTTGCGTATGCCTCGTCGAGCTATGTTTTGTGGTGTAGCAGTAGGTTGGAAGAAAGCTAGGGGCGGCCAAACAAAAACATGGCACAAATCCATGAAGTCATTGACGAGTGGACTGAGTCATGTCGGTAGGTGTCGACTACCTGGTTGGGGCCCGAGAGACGAAAGTCACCAATGGTTAGAGACCTTGAACGACATGTCCCGAAAACGGTTGCAATGGCGCCGGTGCACTCATGCTTTGTGTTCTCTCAAATCCTATCTTTTTAAGTCTATTTTACTAGATTCTACTTCTTGAATAATATCTTCGAACCTTAATCTTTCCTATTGCTGCTAATACCTTTAGTATATCTAAAACTATTCGATAGGAATCGACAATTACATCTCTGTGCTAATGTGGTATGGCAACTAGAATTAATGTACGTACGAACGTATGAAGTTCTACGTTGCTGTTGATTGATTTTTGACTCTCTCATCAACTTTCGATCAATGTTAGTAGTGTTAATAAGTCACCGTAATTCCGTATAAGTTTCTTCCCTGGTTTTTTCGGGTCTTCATCTCTTCTGATCGTACTCGGCGTTCTATCGAAATGCGGCAACATTATCTGATAAACAGTGATCTCAGGCATTCGATTTCTAAACTGTTTTTGACCGCTAGTTCGGAACTTCATTGTTGTCAATTTATGATTCTATGTGAAATAGTTGGTTATACGCAACGTAAAATCTGATATTTTTGTACATTGGTTTAAGTTTTCAAAACCAGCACAGCGAGATGAATTTGTCAAAGAGAATTCCGGGGTAACATACGTAGTAGTGGTCGAAAATATTAGGCTTAGGAAGTACTCCTCAAGAAGATATATAGCATTGTGAAATAAAAAATCATCAAGTATTTCAGAAACGTCGGATCTCGACTATTGAGAATAACTTTCAGTTATGTTACCCGACAACAGCAGACAACTTTTCCGACTTATCAAGGAAACTGGTATTAGGAATCCTAGTGTAAGTGAGACTATCTCGGGAAAAGATGGTCTTATTATCCATTCTCAATCCAGGAGACTGGACCGATGGGCAGAACACTTTAAGGATCAGTCCAACTGGCCTCGAGCAACTCTTCGGTTACCCACGATCTCCAGTCATCCTGAATGGCAAATCGACGTAAGTCCCCCTAGTCTTAATGACGTTGAGAAAGCGTTAGGAAATCTGAAGCGAGAACGAGCTGCAGGTCCTGATAGACTGACCCCTGAGATATTTAAGGATGGTGGTCCAGTGTTAGCAGCTAGGTTGACTGGGATCTTAGGTAGAATCTGGGAACTGGACGTAATCGCATCCGACTGGTCTCAATCACTGATTGTCCCAATTTACAAGAACGAACAAAAGTCTTCTTGTGACAATCGTAGGGGAATAAGTCTAACTAATATAGTATCTAAAATATTGGCCTCAATAATACTTCGGCGCTTGACGAAAGCTCGTGAAGAGCAGACTAGAGAAAACCAGTCTGGTTTTCGACCTGGACGTGGTTGTATAGACCACATCTTCACACTACGACAGGTCCTGGAACATAGACACACATTTAGGCGTCCTACAATAGTTGTTTTCCTGGACCTTAAATCGGCATTTGACTTTGTGGATCGTGAGGTTCTGTGGCAGTGTCTGTCATTGAGAGGGTTACCAAAGAAGTACATTAACCTCATACAAGTTCTCTACTCGAACACCACTGGTCGAGCGAGAGCATATTGCGAACTGTCACCGGAATTCTTAACTTCAAGTGGTGTCCGTCAGGGATGTCCACTTTCTCCATTCTTGTTTTATTTTGTCATTGACATGCTCCTAGAAATAACCTTATCCTCTTCTAAATTTTCAGGTGTAGACCTTTTACCAGGTGGTTTGCTTATTGACTTAGAATATGCCGATGATATATTCCTACTTGGTGAAGACGCTGACAAAATGCAGAGTCTTCTGACCACCCTAAGCAACAATGCAAGCATGTTCGGGATGCGGTTCTCCCCCTCGAAATGCAAAATGTTGCTTCAAGACTGGGTTGCTTCGGCACCTGAACTAGTGATAGGGAGTGAAGTAGACGAGTGTGTTGATCTCATCAGTGCCGATGGCCTGGTGACTGACGAAATCTCAGCTCGGATACAGAAGGCTCGATTGGCTTTTGCTAACCTGCGTCATTTATTGCGTAGGCGAGATATCTGTTTGCTGACTAAAGGGCAGGAGTACTGCGCATTAGTTCGCTCCGTCTTACTTTATGGCTGTGAAACATGGCCAGTTAGAGTAGAAGATATTCTTAGGATACTGGTTTTCGATCATAGGTGTCTTCGAAGCATTGCTCGTATATCCTGGTACACCCGAATGACCAACCCTGTTATTAGGAAACGATTGCTAGGTAAGAATGGCAGATCAATAGATGAAGTAATGAAACTTCATCAGTTGAGGTGGTTGGGACATGTGTTGCGTATGCCTAACCACCGACTGCCTCGACGAGCTTTGTGTTGTAGTGTAGGAATAGGTTGGAAGAAAGTTAGGGGCGGCCAAAACAAAACATGGCAGAAATCCATGAAATCATTGACGAGTGGACTTAGCCATGTCGGTAATTGTCGACTACCTAGTTGGGGTCCGCGAGATGATAATAATCGATGGTTAGAGACCTTGAATGACATGGCTCAAAACCTTTAGCAATAGCGCCGGTACATTTATTCTTTGTGTTCTCGCAAATCCTAATCTTCTGGATTCTTCAACTTTGTAAACTTTTCCCACTGAATCATACTTCTTGAATAATATCTTCTAATCCTAACCTGTCGGATTACTTCTAATACCTTTACTACCTTTTCTACTATTGGATTTGAATTGACAATTATATCTCTGTGTTAATGTGGTATGGCGACATGAACCGATGTACTTCTACGTTGCATCTGACTGACTTACTGACACGAGACAAAGTCGGATTTCAACACTGACATGTTTTTTTGTACTTCTAAGTAATTCAAAATATAGGGATATTTCTCACTTGAGTTACATACATTAACAGAATTCAGTCAATCTGTAGAAAGTTAAATCCTGTTAATGTTAATTTTTTGCCCTATTGAATTATACTATAATCAACGGATTTTTTTGAGTTCATACGATCTAGGCTTGAAGAGTTAGTTCATCCGTAACCATCAACTACTATATGAAGTACATATTTAAATCCTTTTCTAATATAATGAGATTTATGTACTTTGTGTTTTCTTTGTTTGAACTTGTTTTTTTAATGCATTCAAGCTAAGATCCTCAGACAATAAAGTATATACTATTACAGCTCTCATTAATTAATTTATCTGATTAAATAACTGTTAAACGGAGGAGAGACAAGATTTTAGTTAGAAATTAATGTGAGAATCAAAGTGACACTGAGAAGAAGTTTCCATGCTGCTCAAAAATATCTGCTACTTTATTATAATTATGGAGCTTAGTTTTTTAGAGTACATGTGTAGTTTACATTTATTTAACTATTAGGGATCTTCAAAGTATGGTTGGTTTACTTACAATAGAACCGCTGAATGTGTTATGCTGGTGCTAACTATAGACAACTAGAATAGAGTAGTAATCAATTGGTTGATAAGTTTCTGAAACTTCATTGATCGATGTGGTTTAGTCATATGTTATCCATTCACTATCTATCTTGGGACATGTGTTACGTATGCCCAACCACCGACTGCCTCGACGAGCTATGTTTTGTGGTGTAGGAGGAATAGGTTGGACAAAAGCTAGGGTCGACCAAACCAAAACATGACAGAAATTCATAAAATCACTGACAATTGGACTGAGTCATGTTGGTAGATTTAGGTTACCTGGTTGCGTTTCATAGGACAAAAGTCACTGATGGTTAGAGACCTCGAATGACATGGCTCAAAATCGTTTGCAATGGCGTAGGCGCACCCATTCTTTGTGTATGTTTGGACCTGGTGCTGAGGCTGCTGCTGCTGCTACACTAGTCATCTTCTCTTGCATTTTTTTATTGCGTGTGCAATTAAAGAGTCCTCTAATTATATATAGTAATGAGAAGACTGAGGCAGGTTCGATAGATTATATTGCACACTCTTAGTCAATTAAAAACGAAAACATTACATTGAACAGTCTATTTGCACATTATCTTTGAGTCGTGACTTCCAACGCTCCATCCTTCTTCCACTCCTGTTGTTGTTTCCTTTTCTTCCTCTGTTGGTACTCCATTTACTTCTTGCTTTTGCTCTATTTGCTTTCTGTTTTCCTCTTCTGACCGTGGTGAGACTTCTTCGTTCACGTCCATTCTTATACTACTTATATCGTTCTTATAAGTAGCACACACATTAATATTTTAAGTAACATTAATGTAATAAACTTGTATAAATGACTAGAATCCATTATCACACTCTTCTTCGTCTATAGGTGCGTATCATCCATCATCTTGTACACAAATAATGTCTAGTTTGATTCATTCAGCGAGAATGTTTGTCCTGATCTCATTGAAAACAATAGCATACTGATCTGATTATTGCATACAAAATTTCTCAATGTTATACGCACACCCACGCACACACTGTCGGGGATGTTCGCTTGATAAATGCCTTATTATTTGGATTTCACGATTGCCAGCATGGGATGATCAGTTGGCCTTGAGATTTCATTTCCCACCAGGAAAATCCATGGCTGTGTGACTGGCTGATGTGTATTTTAGTGTGCTGTTTTCATAACTGTCCGACTAGGACGTTTCTATGATGTATAAATAAACGAGAGTTGTATGCTTGATTGTATTGTGTGATTGCTGGGTGTTTGTAGAATATACTTTCTACGCTTACAAAGCCTTTTATCTTCAGCTTGGGATTCAAGGTAGCCTACCTGGACGCTGGTTCATTGTCTCGTTCTAGTTTATCGACTAAGGTGAACTCGTAATAGTAGCCTCAAGCATACTTAGTGACGAACGCAATACACACACACACGCATACACAGTTATCAAGTACATCAATTAGGAAGGGATTATGAATTCACGTTCTGTGCTGCAAAGAAAACACCTTTCGATTTTATCAGAATAGAAATTTATAAAATAAACTTGATATAAACTAATAAATATAACAACAATAGTAGCATGGAGTATACGAAGAGAATAAGAGGTTTTTGTTTGAATAAAAGAAAGGTAGTTGTGTTTATTATAGTTTACTGGTCATAATTAAAATAACAATAATAATAATAATCATAAAAATTAAAAAAATTATAAACTGTAAGTTTATACAATGCCGTGTATGAGTGAGTATTCTTCTTTTTAAGGTTTGATTAAAATAACAGCATTTTCTTCGTTCATTTGATAATAATTCTCCATCTTCACAGGCAATAATATTTAGTTAGTAGTATTTATGGATGTAAGATTGGAGACCATTCTCATTGCTGTAGGATAAAAAAAGTTGAAAATATAAATATTAGGGGGGGGGGGAAGTGTAAGTTAAAAAATTAATTGTTCATTTTTTTTCTCTTATCAATAATATATTCCAGGTTTTTTTAATGGTGGACTAACGTTGATCTGTGGTGTGTGCTACTTATACGAACGATATAAGTAGTATAAGAATGGATGTGAAAGAAGAAGTCTCACGGTCAGAAGAGGAAAACGGAAAGCAAACAGAGCAAAAGCAAGAAATAAATAGAGCATCGACAGGAAGTAAAGGAAGCAACAGCAGGAATGGGAGAAGGATAGAGCGTTGGAAGTCAGGACTCAAAGATGGTGTGCAAATAGAGTGTTCAATGTGATGTTTTCGTTTTTAATTGACTCAGAGTGTAAATTTGCACAATACAATCTTCCGCGCCTGCCTCAATCATCTCAGATCGATTCATGGTTTAAAAAATGTGTAACTTAACAATCTTCACAACCCCCTAATGCAAATAAATTACCTGTACTCACTAGTGTGACTAGCTCCTTTGAGGCATCTTCTCCAAGTACAAGTGGGTAGTCGTGACCAGTGTAGTCAGCAACTACGAAAGACAATGTATGAGGTTGTGCAAGACCGTGAAATGATTGATCGAAGTTAGACATTAACACCTTTAGATACTGGCTCAGTGATCCAGAGGTTAGGCTGTTGAGCGCAAGACCGAAAGTCCTGGGTTCGAATCCTGTGAGGTGCAGGAGTCGTGGATACGCACTGCTGATGCGTCCCATACCAGGACGAAACAGCCATCCAGTGCTTCCAGGTTTCTACTGGTAGTCTAATTTTGATTGACTGATTGATGATATGAAACCCGGTAATGACATAATATATTCATTCTGTTTTCCTAATCTGTCAACTAATCAGTTAATAGTGTGGTGCGAGCTACTTATAAGTAGTATATGACGTGAGCGTCAACGTAATGTCTGGCAGCAGAAGATGGGGGAAGATCAAGAAAGGAAGATTTAGTTAGAACACAATGGAATTTATATGAAACGCATGAACAGTAGTGAAATGTCAGACAATGGATTGATGATGGATTGAAGATTTGCAAATTAACGATTTGCGATATGGTTTTCCTCTGTAATTTTCGTTAAATACAATTCGGTTTCCCCACCTGTGTTCTCCTTCACTACAATAGGATCAATCATGAATCAAATACATGGGTTTGTATCATATTTTAGTTGTTTTGAAACGACTGATATTATTCGTCTAGTGTAAAACCAAAACAGAAATAATGAAATTAAAAACTTATAACCTGGAGCCTTTAATCGAAGAGTCAGTTAGTAGTTCTAATTAAGATACTACAGTTTGATATAAATGTGCCAAGTTGAACTGTCTATTGACTCAGGACAAAAATTAACAAAATGAACAACCAGAGCTTTGATATCAACGATCATAAGAAATATTAAGTATTAGGGCGTTAGGGTTTGAAAATAAGGCTTGCATCATTTTCACTAAATATAGTTTGGATTAAAAAAAAGAGAGTTTTACAAAAAGCTTCCTGATTTGCTTAAAAATACTAACATGCCCAAACGTAATTATAGTGGGTAAGTTTAATAATGCCTAAGAGTCAATTAGGTTTATCTGACGATATTCCGGCTCAGTGGAAGGAGAACAGCCGTTGTTTTCTGAAACCTTTTATTTCTGCTAGCATCAACTCCAAGCATAAGTATTCACACGAATAAGCACATCGTCTGATGTATTGACTCCGTAAACAGGACTCAACGACGGACCGGAACAGTTCACAATCACCAATACTTATCGTTGTTGTAAAAGGCAATCTCATCAGCCACAGAAAAACTACAGTAAAACGCTTTGGAGTTCCATTTTATCACTAGGAAAGCTGAGAGTATATTTCAGGAACAATTAGAGAACTTCTTTTAGTCAATTATAAAAGTGATGTTAAATTCAATGTATCCTGATGATATCCCCAAACAATTTAATCATCTTAAGCAACAGTACCAGCAGATTTAAAAAGTGCCTCATCCCACCATCTAAATATAAAGTACTACTAAGTTGTAAGTGATCTTTATCAACATGTGCATTGATTTTAGGAAAGAAAGTGGTTGAGCGAATCGATCATCTCATTTATTTTGAATGTAGCTTATTCCTCTATTAGGTTTACTTAGCTCAGTGTTCACATAACAATGCTGGTTAAACTACACAGAATAATAATGCATATTAACAGGTATCGACTTATCTACACTCTACTACTACTATATATGTATGTAATACATTAGTCATTAATAATCGGAAATTGTTGAATACAGGTTTCTGGTGTTTTTGTGATCATAGATCGTTAACCGATTTAATCTTATGTATGCTGTGATATCCGTTCGCTAACCAAAAGACGGATGTACTGCGCAACAGTTCGCTCCGTTCTCCTATATGTCTGTGAAACATGGCCGTTAAGTGTAGAAGATGTTCGTAGGTTATCAGTATTCGATCATAGATGTTTAAGAAGCATCGCTTGTATGCCGTGGGACAACCGAGTAAGCAATGCTGTCATTAGGAAACGATTACTAGGTAAGGATAGCAGATCAATAGATGAAGTAATGAAACTTCATCAGTTGAGGTGGTTGGGACATTTGTTACGTATGGCTAACCATCGACTGCCTTGAAGAGCTATTTTTTGTGGTGTAGGAATAATTTGGAAGAAAACTGGGGGCGGCCAGACCAAAACATGGCACAAAACTATGAAGTCACTGACTAGTGGACTGAGTCACGCTGGCAGATGTAGACTACCTGGTTGGAGTCCGCGAGACGATAGTCACCAATGGTTAGAGACCTAGGCTCAAAATCGTTCGCAATGGCGCAGGTGCATTCATTCTTTTGTATTCTCTCAAATCCTAATCTTCTGGATTCTTCAACACCTCTAGTTTTGATTTTCTAACCTTTCCTCACTGAATCATACTTCTTGAATAATATCTTCTCATCCCAACCTCTCCGATTACTTCTAATACCTTCAATAACTCTACTGCTATTGGATTCGAATTGACAATTATATCTCTGTGCTGATGTGGTATGGCAACATGAACTTATGTACATATGTACGAAGTTCTACGTTACAACTGACTGACTGACTAACTGTTATGTATGCTAATTTTCTTCAAAAATAAAATACAGAATTTTTTATATATACAGCAATCTGATAGTGTTTGAGAACTTTTTTCCAAATTCATCATCAGTCGATCGATTGATGATTGTTGAAAAGTCGAAAAAGATTGCTTTATTTTTGTCTTCAAAAAAATATTCTGATATTCTTTAGAAATACGTTTCTTGATTTCAATTTTTTTTTTTGATTGTTTCAATGTCAGTTATTGTTGCTGTTGTCGTAGAGTGAAACTGAAAATGTTTGAAACATTAAATATTCGCATTACGGGGTTGTGGAGATTGCTAAGTTACACATTTCTGAAACCATGAATCGATCAATGTTAAAGCACCATTAGAAACCTGGAAGCTATGACAGACGGCCATTTCGTCCTGGTATGGGACTCTTCAGCAGTGCGCATCCACGAACCCTGCGCCCCGCAGTGGTCCAATGGTTAGGCCTTCGCTTACAATACCGAAGGTCCCGGGTTCGAATCCTGCAGGGTGCAGCAGTCGTGGATGCGCACTGTTGATGAGTCCCATACCAGGACGAAACAGCCATCCAGTGCTTCCAGGTTTCTGATGGTGGTCTAACATTGATCGATTCATGGTCTAAAAAATGTGTAACATTAAATATTCGTCTTGCTGTTTTTCCCTATTGACTATAGTTGAAAATGGTAACCAAGTGAGTAATGTTGTCGTCATTTCAGGTATGTTAACCCATGTGCCATGATAGGATTATATTGATAAAAAAATTTCTTAATGATTATGAGTTGGTTATTGAGAGAATTCTGGTTTTTCAATAAACTTATCCCAGTCTTTAATGAAAGTATCTTACAATATCTGTCGCTTACTATAGAGTTTCATGAACTTGACTTTGTGCTATGGTACAAATGATAGTACTTGACTTTTCAAGTCCAAATGGGGGTCTAAATGTTGAATAGATCAAGTAAGAGTGTATTAACCGGTAATTTATCTGTTAAATTTTATGACTATGGCTGAGTGATTTATACAACTAACTATAAAACAGTTGGCAATTGATTCAAACCGACCATCTTTTAATGAGCAAAAATCAGACAACTAAGTAGAGGAAAGCACGGTATCCAATAGACAGCCAGAATGCATCTGGACGACTCGGACTTCACAGATGATCTTGCTCTTCTATTGCACACGCAACAACACATGCATAAGAAAACGACTAATGTAACAGCAGCCTCTGCAGCAGTGGGTCTCAACATACATAAAGGAAAAAGCAAGGTTCTACGATACAACACAACATGAGCCAACCGAATCACTCTTGATCGAAAGGCCTTTTAGGACCTTAACATCTATACATATTTGGGCAGCATCATCGACAACCAAGGTGGATCTGATGCAGATGTGAGGACGCGGATTGGCAAAGCAAGGGCTGCATTTCTAAAATTGAAAAATATCTGGAACTTCAAACCAATATCAATCAACACCAAAATCACTATTTTCAATACAAATGTGAAGACAGTTCTACTGGTATGGAGCGGAAACTTGGAGAACTACCAAAGCCATCATCCAGAAGATACAAGTGTTTATTACCAGTTGTCTGCGCAAAAAACTTCGGATTCGTTGGCCAGACACGATTAGCAACGACGTACTGTGGGAGAGAACAAACCAGATTCCAGTGGAGGAGGAAATCAGGAAGAAGTGGTGGAAGTGGATAGGACACACACTATGAAAAGCACCGAACTGTGTCACAAGACAATCCTTCATTTGGATCCCTCAATGTTAAAGGAAAAGAGGGTGGACAAGAAATAGAGAAAGATATGAGGAGAATGAACGAAAATTGGACAGAACTGGAAAGGGAAGTGCAGAACACAGTAGGTTGGAGAATACTGGTTCGCTGCGTATGTTCCATTGGAGGTAACAGGCGAAAGTAAGCAAGTAAGTAAGTAAGTAAGGCAACTGAACTTCTATCGCTAATTCTCATCAAAACTAATATATATTTATGGCCTATAATCTCGTATACAAACTAAATTTGAATCTTTACTTATTGAATGTAATCAATTCAATGAGTGACATGTAGTTTTCAGTAACAAGGTTAATTAAAATCTAAAATAGAAAGCTTATTTTACAATCCACAAACTTGTTAGATATTTCACAATCTTCATGTAGATTATTTCATTCTGAGAGTTTACACGAAGCATACCATCACCTAGTTGAAAGAATTCATTTCATTTACTAAATAAATCTACAGTTTTAAAATTAACCTTATGTCATTGTGGAAAGAAAATGAATGTTATTTTCTAAAATTTGAATTTTATTTTACATATCACATAGAAATTTAAATGTTCCAAATCAATACTTACGTATGAACGAACCTACCTTGTTTGAATACATCAATCCATAATCTTGTCAATTCAGATGATGGTGCCATTAAGAAATAAGTATGCAATGTAGTCTCTAAACAAAATAATGTTTCAGTTTTTTCTGTACAATTTGTTGATTTTGTCAGTGTATTATTATTATTATTATTATTATTATTATTATTATTATTATTATTATTATTATTGTCTATAGTTGAATGTGATGCGTCATTATTGTTCAGGATAATTTTACTACTATTATCTTGATGAGTAGTACTTTTAGTTTCATTATTATTATTATTTCGAATATTTGTATTGATTAATGTTGAGGCGTGTTTTTGAGATATTCTAAGTGATGATGTTGTAGAAGATTTTTGACAATCCAATAACTGATCAGTACTACTTTGGTAGACATCTTTAATTGTTGTAAAGTTGATTGTACCTAAAAAATTATAAAATGAAGAAGAAATTCTATATTACCGGCATTGTTTAATATTCAATATACAAAAAATAAAATTTATGAATCATTGAACATTTTGTTTGAATTGTAGTTTTGCATTCTTCTGAGAGAGAGAGAGAGAGTACATACGCAACATTTGAGAACAAAATGAAGCATCAGTACTCCAGTGACTTTTCGATTTCAATGATATTTGTGTGTGTCTGATGAAAATCACCGTCCAATCTTACAAAATCTTCGTATATATATATATATATATATATATATATATATATATATATATATATATATATATATTCAAATAGAATCTGATTAGTAGTACAAAGCAATTAAATTTTTTTGTAAAGTACTGTTCGGATATTCATCCAAAATCCTAAGAGAATTATTGGTCAATTCCTATTGGTCGATTTCTATTGGTCAAAATTATGATCGTTTTAACTGTCAAAGTCAAATATTTCAATGTTGTCTCTTATTGGTCATCCAGACTGTCAATGTCACTTCAAATGCTGCTTCCTATTGGTCGTCTTAACTGTTAATGTCACACACTACAATGCTGTTTCCTATTCGACCAAAATGTATAAATACGCATTATCTGTTACGTTTTAGGACCACGAGCAGGACCCGGATCCTGATTCTCTTCCGGATTCGGACCTCGTGCTTTCTGGATGCTTGTAGAATACAGGTTCTACTTCACATTCAAGTCTTCTTATTTTTACTTATTATGGGGGTTGGGATAATCGGATTAGAGTAGCATGTCGTGTCACCGGATCCTCGATCCTCGCTCTCGTTTTCCGATTAGGTAAACTCGTAATAGTTCAAGCGTATCAAGTTGACGTGTTTACGTGCAGGCGTAACAAGTAGGGAAAAGGTAATCTGAACATTGTTATCCTCGTCAATTGATATGCTTGAATGCTATTACGAGTTCACCTTAGTCGATAAACGAAAGAGAAAACAAATGATCCAGTGACACGATAGGCTACTCTAATTTGAGCGTCTCAATGTCCTACTAAATAGAGGAAAAAGTCTTAACAAGATGTAGAAAGTGTATTCTACAAGTAGCAAGATAATATGAGGTTCACAAGCACACAAATCGACTTTGTTTATACATGATAGAAACTTCCCTGAGAGAGTAACAAAAATAGCGTACTAAAATAACACATCAACCAATAATAACAGTCAAGGATTTCTTGTGTGGGAAGCGTAATCTCAGGCTCAACTGATCAACTCATGCTTGAAAACATAAAATCCAAAATTAGGGTCTTTTCTGAGTGATTACTGGGGGGATCTAATGAAAGTCCTAACCACAACAAACATACAGCTTTATAATTGTATCAAAACTAATACAATATTTGTATACTATTAACAGACTGTGATGAGAATGAAACACAGATATTGATTGAATCCATGAAAATTGTTTATAAAAACGGATGAACTTAGTGAAACTTGCATAATTATGAACCTTCAATAAAATGTGATCACTAAATTTATCACATGAGAACCAATCTTTCATAATCATATTAAATACACTACCATTGTGGTGTGTGCTACTTATACGAACGATATAAGTAGTATAAGAAAGGGGACGTGTAAGAAGAAGTCTCACCACGGTCAGAAGAGGAAAACGGAAAGCAAATAGAGCAAAAGCAAGAAGTAAATAGAGTACCAACAGAGGAAGGAAAGGAAGCAACAACATCAGGAGTGGAAGAAGGATGGAGTGTTGGAAGTCACGACTCAAAGATGGTGTGCAAATAGAGTGTTCAATGTAATGTTTTCGTTTTTAATTGACTCAGAGTTGATCAACAGAACACCAAGCTTCAATTATGACTGTGACGAATTATTATATTGGGATAAATACTACCTGTTAGATGTATTTTTAAACAATCTAAGATTGAAGTGAAATAAGTGATTACATTCTTTGTGCTAGTTGACCAGGTTGTTCGTATTACATAGTTAAACAAATCAAAATCAAGATTGGGAGAATTTCTGTCTCACTGATCAATTAATGTTAAATGTTTCAATTTCTACTTCAAACACTTCCTTATCAATCGATTGACGTTGATCAGCATTAAAAAGTACTTGCATATCACACCATATGTATATAATATATACAAGCTTTGATTGATCTCTCTCTGTAGTTGGTCATTTGAAATGTTTACAGTTATTTTTCAGTTTCATTTATAGAGATTAATATTTGTGCCACATTGAAATCATCACTCAGTCAATGTTAGAACACCATCAGAAACCTGGAAGCGCTGAATGACAGCGGTTTCATCCTCGTATGGGACTCAACAGTGGTAGTGTGAGCATTCACGACTCCTGCTAATCGCTGGATTCGAACCCAAGACCTTCGATCTTGCGCGCTAACGTCTAACCTCTGGACCACTAGGCCCGCATCCAACAATGTTAATGTCTAACTCTGATCAATCTACAGATTTTTCGCGACCTCACCCAATGGTCTCTGGTAGTTATCGATTGCACCTGACAGAGTTGGACTCCACTGAACATATCTTCTCACTAGAACTCGGAGAATTTCCTTACCAGTGAGCACATTTTACAATTTTTCAAATGGAGTTATGGAGATTAGTGTGTGTTGCACATTGTAAGCACCAATCAATCATTGTTAGACCACCAACATTAGAAACCTGGAAGCATTGGATGCGTACCGCTGATGAGTCCCATACCAGGATGAAACGACCGTCTCTTAATGCTCCGAGGTTTCTAAATTTTGATTGTGTGACAAAACAACGATGCAACAACAACTGTGTACTGTTGTGGTGCGCGCTACTTATAAGTAGTATATGACGTGAGTGTCAACGTAATGTCTGGCAGCAGAATATGCGGGAAGATCAAGAGAAAGGAAGAGTTAGAAGAACACAATGGAATTTGTATGAAACGCATGAATAGTGAAATAAATGTCAAACAATGGATTGATGATGATTGATTGAAGATTTGCAAATTAACCGTTTACGCGATATGGTTTTCCTATTTTACTACTGAATAACAACTCTGTAATTTTCATTAAATACAATTTTCGATTGCCCTCACCTATGTTCTCCTTTACTACAGGATAACAAAACAAACGATGAACTCTTACTTACTTTCAATACGTCCACATCCTTTTCTTTCACATATGCATAATTTTTGTTCAAACATATCACATGATAACCATTTACGACACCATTTTGCATTTTGTGTACTGCGTATTATGAGTCGTTTATGATGCTTGTCATTTTCAACATGATTATTATTATTATTATTACTCACATGATGTTGATGTGTGGATGTGGTGTCATTTACTCGACGTATTAATGAATTCCATAGTTTGCTGTGATGATTACTGTTGATGTTATCATGATTCTGATTATGATTAGTATTTTGATTACTTGGTTTTTTCATTATCCATAAATAACCACCACATATTCTATTCGTTAGAATAATTTTACATTGGAAATAATCCAATGATTCTTCATTAACAATCGTTGATGATTTTTGTGTACGATTAGTTTTTGATGTAAGCCAACTACCAAGTAGACTTGTAAGACATATACCACCTCCATGTCCATGTTCAGGTAATAATACAGTTGTATCAGATGTTTTTATAGATAATTCATTAATTGGATATTGAAGAGTTTGTAAATAATGTTGTAAATTAAATGAATAATCATATTTTGGTTTAATGTATCGTTTAATTTTATGCGCCTATTTGATGAATAGAAAGAATGAAAATAGGGAGAAAAAAAAACAAGAACACACAGATATTAGTTTTGTTTTTTCTGTATTTAGATTTATTTATACATAAATTATTTCAAAAGGTCATTTTTAAAACGTAACGAAATTTCATTGGATGACTATTAGCCAATCAACGATCGTCCTTAACTGTTCCGACAATTATAATAATAATAATACTATTCATTCATACTAATAGGAGCAATAATAACTGTTATGGAGGAAATCTCGTATCATAAAAAAATTCCAGTCTTAATCATACACTGACAGAGTGAAAGTTTGATTCATTTAGTGAGAAGATGTTATGCTCATCACTAGGTATGCTTGAAAATATTGCCGGGTTCACCTTAGTCGATTAACGAGAACGAGACAATGAACCAGCGCGTCCAGGTAGGCTATTCTAATCTGTTGAGCCAAATTTACTAACAAGAAGTCTAGGTATAGTGTAGAAAGTGTATTCTACAAACACCCAGACAGCACACACAATGCGTCCAAGCACTCAAATAGCGTTTATTTATACACCACAGAGATGTCCTTGAGAGAGTCACAAAAGAGCACACCGAAATAACACAGTAACCAATCACAGCCAATGCTTTTCCAGGTGCGGTCTCAAGGTCAACTGATCAGTCCATGAATAAAATTCAAAATAGGGACACTTATCAAATGAGTTCTGGGGGATCTAACATCCCCAACAGAAGATTCAGTTGAAAAACAAACGTAGTATACTTCGATTTACGACTGAGTTAAATTTCTTCGTTCAGAAATATTGTATTGTATAAATAATTTGTAAGAACTGATAATTCGCCTAACACCTTAGAATAAGGATTTTCAGTGAGTTTGTTCTTGGTGCACTAAACTAGCCAATCTCTTTTGCAAAATGCATTCCATCTTATCTGGATCTTCTTTATGGAAAATATTTTCAGCACATTTCGATCGATAAATATGTTACAGTTTTAGTGTAGAGACATGGAACTCTTAAAGTTTATGTATAAAGATTAAGAAATTTGCCAATTTGACGCGCTACGAAATTTCTTGTACGTCGTCTGTCGAACAACATCAAATGAGACGTTACCAGAGCAAAAGTTCCCAGCAGAAATCCTGATGAGAAGACGAATGAAAATGATCCACAGCCTGATGCATCTGAGTAATGCACCAACATTAGTACAGACAAAGTCTGAAAAGCAATCCACATACGAAGTAGGATGTCCTGTGTTCGCCTGTGACTACAGGCTAACTCATGATCCATGGACAGAAGAGTTGACCGTGTCATGTACGAAGTAGAGGTAGGAAGCGATAAATGATCACGCTACCGAAATCAGATACGCAAACGGCTAGCCCCAGATTGCCGCCCATCAGCAAGAGTGAATCTTCCCTGTGACATCCTACTAGATACCTTCAACTTACCAGCCGCCCCACCACAAGTAAAAACTCAACAAAAAGTTGATTTCCATCCCAAAACGGTAGCCTCTAGGACAGCAGTGAACAACAGTCAAGATGCAAGTCGACCCCAGGAACGTACGCTACTAAAAAGAGGAGGTGTAATGGGGATGTTAGATCTTCAGAATTCACATATGAAAAGGTCCTAATTTCGTAATTTATTTCTGAAATTTTGAATTTCTATGTTTTCGCGCCAAGAGACGCTTAGATGACGACCTCCAGCTTACTTTTCCCCCATTTGGATGGAATTCCTCGACTGTCACTGGTTGACGGATATTTTTAGTACTCTATTTTTTTAGCTCTCCCAAGGGCATTTCTATCATTGTATAAATAAGCTTGATTTGTGTGCTTAGCAACCTCATATTTCCTGAGTGTTTGTAGAATACATTCTCTACTCCTTATCAAGACTTCTTGCTCTAGTTATCAGGGCTGCAGAAAATCGGATTAGAATAGCCTATCGCTATCGATTTATTTTCAATTCGATAAACGATCGATACAAAGTGAAGTGAACTTCGAAATTTTAATCTGTCAAATAAATCAAAAATCTGGTTCTGTAAATTGATACGTTTTTTGACTCGCCTAAATCGCTTAAATCGTAATGTTCAGATCGTAATCGTATGTTTACTGTTACAACAAATCGTGCTTTATTGATCTTAATAGTTCAAATTATGATTTGCAAAGCGTTTCTCGTTCAAATTCTACGTCTCTTACGTTCACAGTTTTTACGTATGTCATTCTCTAAAGCTCCACATTAATTGTTAGGGCATTATAATCCTCTAGGTTTCCGTTCACTTACTGATCACAAATACGCCAAAATTTAGAACAGCAGGCAAGAAAAAAAAGGATTGTTTTAAACGCAGCAAATCCGTGACTTTCCACTTATCGAATTTCAAAATAAACGAATTGAATGTATGTTGTATGGAAATCTAATTTCCAGTTCATACTCAAATTTACTTACTTTACTTACGCCTGTTACCCACAATCGAGCATAGGCCGCACACCAGTTTTCTCCAAACAACTCTGTCTGTCCTGGGCTTCCCTCTCCAGTTCTGTCCAATGTTTGTTCATTCCTCTTATATCTTTCTCTATTTGTCGGCGCAGTGTGTTCCTTGGCCTTCCTCTTTTCCGTTTGCCTTGAGGGTTCCATGTGAGGGCTTGTCTCGTGATGCAGTTAGGTGCTTGTCGTAGTGTGTGTCCTATCCACTTCCACCGTTTCTTCCTGATTTCCTCCTCAACTGGAATCTGGTTTGTTCTCTCCCACAGTAAGTTGTTGCTAATGGTGTCTGGCCAACGGATCCAAGGTATTTTGTGTAGACAGCTGTTAATAAACACTTGTATCTTCTGAATGATGGCTTTGGTAGTTCTCCATGTTTCCGCTCCATACAACAGAACTGTCTTGACATTTGTATTGAAAATCGTGATTTTGGTGTTGATTGAAATTTGTGTGGAGTTGCAGATATTTTTCAACTGTAGAAATGCAGCCCTTGCTTTGCCAATCCGTGCCCTCACATCTGCATCCGATCCACCTTTCTGGTCGATAATGCTGCCAAGATATGTGAAGGTGTTAACGTCCTCTAAGGCATCTCCATCAAGAGTGAGTGATTTGGTTGGTGCATGTTGTGTTGCATCGGAGAATTTTGCTTTTTCCTTTATGTATGTTGAGACCTACTGCTGCAGTTGCTGCTGCTACACTGGTCGTCTTCTCTTGCATTTGTTGTTGAGTGTGAGATAGATGTCATACTCAAATACACAACTGTTAATGTGAATGATCACATTACCACGCTGCAGTTGTACTTTGTATCCAAAGTGACTTTGTTCTCTTACAAAACTTGATTTGAGCTTGGTCGGTAAAGTAATCATATTGCAACCGACTACAGAAAAAATGCATCGGGTATTCCGAATAAAGCCGTTGGAACTATCAAATGTATTTTCAAATCTAATGACATAATAATCATAATAATAATCACTAGATAACGTGTCACTAAAAAACCGTTCGATCAATTAGGTTTTGATGATTAGCTCAACGATCTAAAAATGTTAGATCAATCACTTAGTCTTATATATATGATCAGATCTCTCCTTCAATCGATGATGACTGCATAGTAGAGCAGATAAGCATAATCAGTCAGCATCAAGCTCTTTCATCACTCAGAAATTGAATTAGAAAGAACCAGAGAGTTACACAATGTGTTACGCATTGTTAAAGATGGTGGGATGATATATTCCCGGCTCTAATCCAAGATCATTTTTTGCATATTAAATACCTTTTAGCATGAATGTTATGGCTTGTTTCATTACAAATATCCTTAAAGTACCATCCATCTATTATGTAGGATCAATTCCAATTGAGTTTTCTTTCACCAGTGTCTTGGCATCCCATTCCCCTTTATTTCATAAAATTCATTATGTGTTTGCGAAAGACTCATTAATAGTGAATTTGTAAGTACTCTGCTTGTTTAACTGTAAAACTATTTGTCAAACACAAAGTAGGAATTTATGCATACGGAAAGTAAACTACCACATATATATCTTACTGAACACGATTAAATCCAGATATATTTCAATCAGCGAAATGCAGCCCTTGCTTTGCCTATCCCCGCCCTCATATCTGCATCGGATCCACCTTTCTCGTCGATGATTCTGCCCAGATATGTAAGGGTGTTAACCTCCTCCAACGCATCTCCATCTAGAGTGATTTGATTGGTGCATTTTGAGTTGCATCGGATAATTTTGCTTTTCCCTTTATGTATGTTGAGACCTACTGCTGCAGAGGCTGCTGCTGCATTGCATTTGTTGTTGCGTGTGCGATAGAAGAGCCAGGTCATCTGCGAAGTCCAGATCGTCCAGCTGCGTCCTAACTGTCCAGTTGATACCGCGCTTCCCTCCAGACATCGACGTCTTCATAATCCAGTCGACCACCAGAAGAAAGAGAAAGGGTGAGAGTAAGCAATCTTGCCTGACACCGGTCTTCACCTCGAAAGAGTCTGTTAGCTGTCCTTCGTGTACGATTTTGAGGTTGAATCCATCATAAGAATTTCGTATGATGTTAACTATCTTCTCAGGCACACCGTAGTGTCGAAGAATCCTCCACAGTGTTTTCCTATCCACGCTATCAAATGCTTTCTTGTCGTCAATGAAGTTAATGTAGAGTGTTCAGTTCCATTCAGTTGTTCCAAAACGATCCGTAATGTAGCAATTTCGTCGGTACACGATCGATCCTTACGAAATCCGGCCTGTCGATCTCGAAGTTGGGCGTCTACGAAGTCCTTCATTCTGTTTAACAATACTCTGTTGAAGACTTTGCCTGATACTGAAAGGAGAGTGATGCCTGTGCAGTTCTCACACTTGCTGAGATCGCCTTTCTTTGGTATTTTGATCAGGCATCCTTCTTTCCAATCTGATCTCCTCAATTGTAGGTGCGCCAATGTTAATTGGGAGGTCCGTGGATGGTGCTTCGATGTTAGGCGTGTTCAGTGGAGCTGGTCGATTCAAGAGTTCCTGAAAGTGCTCTACCCACCTATTTCGCTGTTGTTCAGTGTTGCTGATTATATTCCCTTCCTTGCTTTTCACTGGTCGTTCTGGTTTACAATGGTTTCCAGCGATCTTCTTTGTTGTATCGTACAATTGTCTCATGTTTCCGTCTCTTGTAGCCTTTTCCGCCGTCATTGCTAGATCTTCCACATATTTTCGTTTTTCAGCTCTGATGCTCTTCTTCACTTCCCTGTGTGATTCAGTTCGGCTGGCATTCACTGCTGCCTTCTTGTTCCTCCTTTCTTCAATTTTTGCAAGAGTATCAACAGAGATCCATTCCTTAAGATGGTACTTCTTGTGACCCAGAACCTCGTGACATGTTGAAGTGATTGCCTCCTTGATCCCTTACCAATTGTTCTCCAATGTTGCTTCCTTTCTATATATATATATATTTAGAAAGGTTGAAATGTCTACAGTTAGAGAACACATTGTCAATTTCAAACACTTTTAAACTCTTTCCTTTTCAAAGTTCATTCAATAACTTACAGGATTCATTCAATTCTACTCGCCAAAACTCTTCTTAACTCAAGCTATCGATTTATGTTTATTATAGTTCACAGTATTAGTATCATGTTTTATATTTCAAGCAAGGAAAAATAACAAAAACTTCTTACTTGATTTACCTCTGTTTGATTTTGTATTTTCTCTGTTGAAATCAATGACTTGATAGATTTTGTTGATCGACTCGAAAATTGATTGATACTTTCCGTTGCTTCTTTTCCATCCTTATTATTATTATTTACATCAATTAAACATGTTAATGATTCAGTGAGAAGTGTACGGGATTCCGACTGGTATGATGGGATAGTTTGTTTTGAACATTCATCATTCGTTCTGTGTGTCATTGTTCTTGATCGATTATTATGCGGATTTAATAACTTGCCATCATTTGTATCATTTATATTCACATAGTATGGCGGTGGAAGAGGTCGTTGTTGATTAGAATCCGTGAGATTACGATTTAAAGGCTGTTTATAAGATGCATAAAACCAAATATATATATATATATATATATATATGTATATATATATATATATTATTTTAAATCATGAATCGATCAATGTTAGACCACTATATTAAAAATCTGGAAGCACTAAATAACGGCCGTTTCGTCCTGCTATGAAACATCAGCAGTGCTCATCCACAACTCCTGCACCTGGCAGGATTCGAACTCAGAACCTTCGGTCTTACGCGCGAATGCCTAACTCTGATCAATCTGGGGATTTAGTGCGACCTCACCCATTTGTCTTTGGCAGTTACTGCCTACACCCAACAGGGTTGAAATCCACTGGTCGCGTTTCCTCAATAGAACTCCGAGAACTTCCTCACGTAGCTAGTCACGGGTGAGCACATTTTACGATTTTTCAATTAGAGTTATGGAGATTAGTGTTTGTTGTACATTGTTAGACCACCATTAGAAGCCTTAAAGAACTGAATGTCGGCCGTTTCGTCCTGGTATGGGAACTACTCATCAGCAGTACTCACCTACGACTTCTGCACCTGGCAGGATTCGAACCTAGGACGAAACGGTCGTCGTTCAGTGCTTTCAGGTTTCTAATCATGGTCTAACAATGATTGATTGATAATTTCAATGTGCAATTAGAGACAATTCACGCTAACCAGTTTATTTTCGTAATTTAATAACATCATCTATGAAGGAGGATCATAGTGTAAGTTGACTAAATAAAAGAAAAAAGTAATTATGCATCTCTCTAATAACCGATCAGTTTATAATATTCCTTTCTTTTTACTAAAACCTATTGACCTACACATACTTTTTGGTATAAGCGGTACTATTATAAACTAGTTACCTGATATGAAGTAGGCAGAAGAAGGTTAATATGTGTATTTTAGTTAGTGATATTCAGTCAGTTAGTCAGATGCAACGTAGAACTTCGTACGTACGTATGTACATCAGTTCACCTTGCCATACCACATCAGCACACAGATGTAATTGTCAATTCAAATCCAATAGTAGAAAAGGTAGGTAGTAAAGGTATTGGAAGTAATCGGAGAGGTTAGGATTAGAAGATATTATTCAAGAAGTATGATTCAGTGAGAAAAGTTTAGAAAGTCAAAACTAGAGTTCTTGAAGAACCCAGAAGATTACGATTTGAGAGAACACCGGCGTCATTGCGAACGATTTTGAGCCATGTCATTCAAGGTCTCTAACCATCGATTATTATCATCTCGCGGACCCCAACAAGGTAGTCGACAATTACCAACATGGCTCAGTCCACTAGTCAATGACTTCATGGATTTCTGCCATGTTTTGGTTTGGCCGCCCCTAACTTTCTTCCAAACTACTCCTACACTACAAAACAAAGCTCGACGAGGCAGTCGGTGGTTAGGCATACGTAACACATGTCTCAACCAGCTCAACTGATGAAGTTTCAATGCTTCATCTATTGATCTGCCATTCTTACTTAGCACCCGTTTCCTAATAACAGCGTTGCTCACTCGGATATCCCAGAATATACGAGCGGTACTATTATAAACCATTTACCTGAAGTGAAGTAGATAGAAGAAGGTTAAGATCTGTATTTTAGTTAGTGATATTATAAAAAAAAACACTAAACCATTGGCAAGGAATTAAAAACAAACAGCAGTTGGATTCAATAGAAATCTAACAGTGTATCGGTGACGTGAGTGTAAACGTAATGTCTGGCAGCAAAAGATGGGGGAAGATCAAGAGAAAGGAAGAGTTAGAAGAACACAATGGAATTTGTATGAAACGTATGAATAGTGACAATGGATTAATGTTTTGCAACAGGAACAGTCCAGTTCGATATGATGAACTGATATTTTGCAAATTAACGATTTACGATATGGTTTTCCGATTTTACTACTGAGTAACTCTGTAATTTTCGTTAAATACAATTCGGTTGCCCCACCTGTGATCTTCACTAATTTTCTCCATAGATAAATCATTTTTTTAAAACGAAATTTGTTTTTTTGGGGGAATATTCTTTTCTTGTAATTTAGTGCATTTGATGAGTTAATGCAAGTAAATGAAAACTATGTTGTGATTACGATTAGCATGTTTCAACAGTATCGATAATAGAGTTTTGTCTAGGAAAAATTGAGACTAGTTATTACCAGTTGTCACTGATTAGATTTACTCTGAGATAATAAAGTGTACGCTTTCATTATTTTGGAAATGTGACTGAAAAACTGTACTGATGAGCACTCATACTCAATCGTTTTTGAATGAATGAATAGCTTTAGTCTCTGTTCATCTAATAAATGCTCTGGTATAGTCAAGACTGAGGAGAATCCGCTATTTCTCAAAATGCTCTTGTATGACCAGGTGTGTATAACCACTGACAAAGAATTCCTGCTCGCCGCATTCTCGTAGCAAGGATGCTGTTTGCGAAGTAGGATGGGCGGAAAAGAAAATATTTGACAAGGGCATATGTATGAAAGATCCACTTAGGCAAGCTGTGTAACCCTGATTCCGAGCCAGTGGTGCATAGAGGCTCCAGGATCCTGATGGAACAAATGGCATATGAACCTATTGTCTGTCAGCAACTACCATGAGACTGTAACTGCTGAGGCTGCTCCAATGTTTAGGGGATCAGACTTTAGAGTCAAAGGCTTGCGGAATAAGCTTTTAAAAAAATCACCAGCTTCTGTTTCGACATCCAGGCAGTATCTTAGCCCTTTTACAAATTCAATAATGTGTGGCGCATAAATACTTCGATGTCTCTTTGTACCGCAAACTGTTTTGTTTCAATGAAACAAGTCTGTCGAGTCGACTTTAACTAATCGACACCATTTTATTTGTGTCATATCATCACTGAGCATTCCGATAGCGATCACTTACAACCCGTTTGATAAAAAAATATCTTTCTAATATCTGGAACTCCAAACAACTTTCAACCAAAACGAACATCACGATTTTCAATACAAACGTCAAGACAGTTCTACTGTATGGAGCAGAAACTTGGAGAACTACGAAAGACATCATCCAGAAGATACAAGTGTTTATTAACATTTATCTACGCAAAATACTTCGGATTCGTTGGCCAGACAGCATCGGCAACAACCTACTGTGGGAAAGAACAAACCAGATTCCAGTGGAGGAGGAAATCAGGAAGTGGCGGTGGAAATGGATAGGAAACACACTACGAAAAGCACCTAACCGCACCACGAGACAATCCCTTACTCGTGGAACCCTCAAGGCAAAAGGAAAAGAGGAAGGCCAAAGAACACATTACTCCGAGAAAAGGAGAGAGACATAGAAAGAATGAACAGAAATTGGACAGGACTAAAGCGGGAAGTCCAGAACAAAGTTGGCTGGAGAAAACTGGTGTGTGGCCGACGCTCCATTGGGGGTAACAGGCGTAATAATAATAATAATAAATAATATTTTTTTAACTGCAAGAGATCGATGTTTTCAAAACTAGTTATTTCTAAGTCATGATATTTGATCAACAATTAATCAGAAGCTACGTCATAGAGATCTAATTTTTTTTCTCAGAATTCATCAAAAGTGTTAATTCGGAACCTCAAGACAAAAAAATAACAAGAAGCATATCATGATAGTTAGTAAACAAGTGTACTATTGTTTTACCAAAAGAATTTCAATAGAGACTTACTTGAAAATCTAAATTCATCTCATCATTAGCAGCATCAAATGAACGTGACATAAATTTATAGACTTCTTCATCTTCAGCACTAAAATGTTCTTGTTTTTTTTGTCTGGTACATAGTCGGTCGATTGATTTGATGTTGTTTTGGAGGAATTGGCGGTACTGGTTTGAGTCGTTGTTGTTGTTGTTGTGGCACAGAGAGGCTGGGGGGATACAATGGTGACTGTTCAGTCAAATGTTGCTTTTCATCATCATATGGCAATGACTGGATGATCTTCATGGTTGGTGACGACGATGATTGTGGTGGTGGTGCTGGTGGTGTTGTTATGATGGTAGTGGTCGTGGTGGACAAAATTGGACAATTGATCGGTGTTAGAAATCTTGTCATGGAATCGTCATGGAATGAATTAGTATTGAAATATCGTCGACTAGGCAGTTGAGTTTTCGATACTCCATATAAGAATCCACATGTTGTATAATCTTCATCATTAATTGGTGATGAACTAGCTTTAGCTAATTCAATATAACCATTTTCAGATGAAGTAAGTTTTGTAAACTCTAAAATATTATATTATTCGAAAAAAGTATTATTTTTTTTGAGGCAATAACTTGTTCAACTTTTAAATATTTCGCTTATCAAGTCATAGATTCATTGTTTCTAAGTATTTTCTACTTTTGTAAAAAATGTCTGTCAACAAATATTCACAAAAATTTCAATATGTTTATCAAAAATTATAAAGGAAAATCTCTTGAAATTTCAAGCTAATTTCACTGAATTAATAGAGTGATATCAGTTTTTGGGGCAGAGTTTTGGAGGTTTGCGTTTTTACACATTTGAAACCAGGTTTCTAATGGTGGTCTAACAGTGATTGATTGATGATATCAGTTTTGTAGAAGAATTTATATCATGAGACAAGATTTTAGTATTTCTAACAATTTATTGACAAGTTAAGTGGATACATGAATACAGTTTCCAGTACTGATCAACTTTGGTTATACTGGCACATTGAAGTACACATCTGCTATGTGAATGTATGGTACTCTTCAGCTTTCTTTATCTTTTTATTTACTAAAGGTTTATCCACTCGAAGGACATGTTTTTATTTATTTCACTGAGTTGATGACATTCACTAACTGACGAATACAATCAACAATGGTGACACTATTCTCGACTGTCTAACTAATGAAGTCAAAAAAAGCAGCTGTGTAGGCTTTGCCATAAGATTCTCAAAATGACCAATGAATAATTCTGTCTGAAGCAAAACGTTGACATAATCTAGTCATAATAATTTAAGTCAATGGAAGGATAGCCAATATGTTTACTTGTTAAGAGATATAATATTAAATCACTCATAGTTGACTCTTAAGGAAACTTCATCAGTTGAGGTAGTTGGGATATGTGCTGAGTATGCCTAACCACCGACTGCCTCGACGAGCTTTGTTTTGTAGTGTAGGAATAGGTTGGAAGAAGGCTAGGGGCGGCCAGAACAAAACATGGCACAAATCCATGAAGTCATTGACAAGTGAACTGAGCCATGTCGGTAACTGTCGACTACTTGGTTGGGGTCCGCGAGATGATAATAATCGATGGTTGGAGACCCTAAACGACATGGCTCAAAATCGTTTGCAATGGCGACGGTGCATTTATTCTTTGTGTTCTCTCAAATCCTAATCTTCTGGTTTCTTCATCCCCCCTAGTTTTGACTTTCTAAACTTTTCTCATTGAATCATACTTCTTGAATAGTATCTTCTAATCCCAACCTCTTCGATTACTTCTAATACCTTTACTACCTACCTTTTCTACTATTGGATTTGAATTGACAATTACATCTCTGTGCTAATGTGGTATGGCAACCTGAACTGATGTACTTACGTACGAAGTTCTACGTTGCATCTGACTGACTTAAGGAAATCATATTATTGAATAATGAATAATCCTGTTATGTACAAATTTTACAAACATCAATGGATTTTTGAAACAATTAGTTTCTTTTGATAAAAATGTGAAGGATAGTGCAATGAGAAGATGATAGTTATCAGGAAGAACTATGTGATATTTTAATGAAACACATTCCGAACAATTTGATTACTCAGATTATTGTATTTAGAAAGCTAAAACATGAACAGGGTAAACTATGGATTTTCATAGTCACTATCCAATCTGATAGAAATGTAGCATAATAAAAGGATTACTCAATATAGTCAATCTTATTCACTCTAGACATATTATTAAAACAGATGCAAAAATCTCTTAACTGACACCTTGACGAATAATGGTAATGGAGACTGAACAATATAAACTGATGTAAAAGATAAGATCTAGTACGTTTTTGACGCCAAAAAGAAAGTAGATCTTTATTACCTACCCTACTACTCAGATATAACACAAACAAAGACTTAAATTAACTATCAGTAAGATATTTTACACAACCGATTACTGATTAGTATTGAAAAGTTAATATCTATGTTTCACCAAAATACAAGACAGCATTGAAACGGTTGTGTTACATCCTATGAAGTTTATCACACTTTATGACGCAAAAATATATATCAAATAGTTTCAGTAACCTTCATATTATCCAAATAACTCGATAATGACTAAGAAATCACTGGGTATCAGCCAGATTTCATTAAAACAAAGTCTTGCTTAGCCAATACACTACGCATAAATGTATAACAAGTAAAGTCACGATTATGTGAACTAAACAGTGTAAGTTATCTATACCAAAAAATAACTTGATTTTAAGTTTTAAATGCTGAATATAAACCTTGTTTCTAGTTGATTACCTTTTAAATTACGAGTTTTCTTATTCAGCTTGTCTCTCTATTAAGTAAAAGACATTTCAAAATCTGGTACAGAGTGCTATGCTCGTCAGTTGATATGCTTGAAACTATTACGAATTCACTTTAGTTGGTAAACGAGAATGAAGACAAATGATTCAGTGTCTTGATAGATTACTCTAATTCAAGCATTTCAAGGCCCGATTAAGTAGAGGAAGAAGTCTTGTTATGGCTTATCAAGTATATTCTACAAGCATCCAGAAAATATGAGGTTAACAAGCACACAAATCGAGTTTACTTACACATGATAGAAATGTCCTTGAAAGAGCCACAAAAATGGCGTACTAAAATAACACATCAACTAATAACAGTCAAGGATTTTCCGGGTGGAAAATGTAATCTCAAGGTCAACTGATCAGCCTATGCACGAAACCACAAAATCCAAATTTAGGACTTTTATCTAGTGAGTTTTGGGGATCTAACATCCCCAACACAGAGATAATTCACACTTCACTACATAGGTTCGACTCAATGTTATATGCATAAACATATATACGCAGATGTATATTTTTCACTAGCTACACTGAATCAATCGTTTCTGATTTAAGTATGAAAATTAGATAGATACATATTAGCTCTACAAGTTATAAATTCTTTAATAGAATGGCTTAAAACACTCTTTTTTATCCATGGGGAAAAGGTTAGAAATAACATCACAAATTCGTGCAAAATACTCGTTCAAATGCAAATTGTATTGTCCAAAACAATCAATCAATCGATACTAGCTAGCTTCAGCTTCACTCATTCATGAAAGGAAACTTTAAAAACCAAACTAAATTTACTGGAAATTAAGCATCCATGTTGTTAGTTTACTGACACTAACCAAGACTTCGTATAATCATACACATGTCATAATTCGATCGTAAATCCATAGGTCAGCTTCAGTGATTATTTTACGAGTGTACAAACAAGGAATGTAGAGATTGAGCAGAATCATTTATGAAACTATTTATTAGCTTGTAGAGGACCCAAAGATTCGATACAAATGTGAGGGCGCGGATCGGCAAACCAAGGGTTGCATTTCTACAATTGAAAAATATCTGGAACTCCAAACAACTTTCAACCAAAACCAAAATCAGCATTTTCAATACAAATGTCAACACAGTTCTAGTGTATGGAGTGGAAACTTGGGGAACTACGAAAGCTATCATCCATAAGATACAAGTGTTTATTAACAGTTGTCTACGCAAAATACTTCAGATTCGTTGGTCAGACACCATCAGCAACAACTTACTTTGGGAGAGAACAAACCAGATTCCAGTGGAGGAGGAAATCAGGAAGAAGTGGTGGAAGTGAATAGGACACACACTACGAAAAGCACCTAACTGCGTCACAAGACAAGCCCTCATATGGAACCCTCAAGGTGAAAGGAAAAGAGGAAGACCAAGGAATACATTACACCGAGAAATAGAGAAAGATATGAGAGGAATGAACAAACATTGGACAGAACTGGAGAGGCAAGCCCAGGACAGAGTTGGTTGGAGAAAACTGGTGAGCGGCCTATGCTCCATCGGAGGCAACAGGCGTAAGAAAGTAAGTAAGTAAGAGGACCCACATAGAGAGAGAGAGAGAGAAATTAATTTGAAGTCATGAAAATGAGTCTCTGCACTGAAAATGGCTTCATTTTTTATAATCAATAAACTAATTATGAACCTTTCAAAATTCATATTCCATATAATTTTTGGTTTCTTGTTCTGTCACATATGACATTGGTAATATTATTATTATTATTATCATTATTATTGTTATTATTAATATTATCAATGTAGTTCTACTTATGTAATTGTTGGGTATGTTAGATCCCCAAAACTCGCTTGTTAAATGTCTTATTATCTGGATTTCACGTTTTCCAGCATGGGCTGATCAGTTGACTGTGAGATTTCATTTCCCATCAGGAAAACCCATGGCTGTGATTGGCTGCTGTGTATTTTAGTGTGCTATTTTTGTGACTGTCCCAAGGACGTTTCTATGATGTATGAATAAACGAGAGTTGTATGCTTGATTGTATTGTGTGATTGCTGGGTGTTTGTAGAATATACTTTCTACGCTTACCAAGACTTCTGTTTTACCGTTTGGATTCAAGGTAGCCTACCTGGACGCCTGTTCATTGTCTCGTTCGCGTTTTATCGACTAAGATAAACTCGTAATAGCCTCAAGCATACTTAGTGACGAACATAATAGTAATTACACCAAAAAAAAATACTCAAACTTACGTGGAATTTTATGCAAATGCTTTTTCGCATTCCATGCAGATAAATTGTCACAATCAAACGATGTTGTTGTTGTCGTTGTTGTTGGTAACCGTCTTCTTATTCTTCCTTCAATCAATAAATGATGATTGTCTTGTTTGAAATGATGAAATTCATTTTTACTAATATTATTATTATTATTATTATACACATGATTATTAGTTGAATTGTCATTAAATTTACGTGTTATACCTGTTGATTTAGGGATATGATTGTTTGTGTTGTTCAATTGTGAAGAGTCAAACAGAAATTGAGCATTTAAACTATTAGTACGTTCAATGGTATTCGATTTCTGCCAAACTTTTTACAATGAATAGAAAAATTCAATAAAAACAAACATGTCAATTATGCAGATTCAATATAATGGATTAAAGTGAAAACAAAATGAGGTTAATATTGTTTGAAAAAGAAACTGAAATAAACGATAATTTGGATATCAATGAAAATAGGTAGTAGGAAAATAACTTGATATGTTTTACACATTAAAATCATCAATCAATCAGTGTTAGACTACCGTTAGAAACCTGGAAGCATTGAATGATGGCCATTTCATCCTCCTATGGGACTCATCAACAGTGCGTGTCCACTACGCCTGCAACTCTCAGGATTCGAACCCAGGACTTCCGGTCTTGTGCGCAAACCACTAACCTCTGGATCACTAGTCCGGCATCCGACTATGTCAATGTCTAACTCTGATTGATTTTGCGTGACCCCACCAATTTGTCTTTGTTAGTTACTGCTTGCACCTGACAGAGTCGAACTCTACTGGTCACTTCTTACCACTAGGACTCCGAGAATTTCTTCACGAAGCTAGTCACAAATGAGCACATTTTGCAGTTTTTCAATTAGAGTTATGGAGACTGGCATTTATTGCACATTTAAAATCATCAATCAATCATTGTTAGAGCACCATTAGAAACCTAGAAGCACTGACATAAGGCCGTTTCGTCCTTGGATGGAACTCATCAGCAGTGCGCATCCACGACCCCTGTGCCTCTCAGGATTCGAACCCAGGACTTTCGGTACTGTGCCCGAAAATACTTACAGGGCGTGGAAAATAAATCTCACAACTAAATCTTGTCATTTTATTATATAAATCGCTTAAAAATGCCTATGGAATAGATCGAGTACATCAATCAATAACTAGTTGACATTTTGACGTTTTAGTGTCCTTTTAAGTTTCACAGTTGTAAAGTAGGAGGGATCGAACTACTGCGCAGTACACTCATCCCTTGG